TGTATATCTACTAGCTGAAAATTATCTAGAACATTTAAATGTCATATTGTGTGTGGTTTAACCAGGCATCCATTCTTGACTAATCAAAGGTTTGGAAATTTGATAAGAAGAGTTTTTGTTTGCATTGGAAATGTGTTATCCAAATGTCATGTGTTAAAAATATTCCCCTACTCAAAACAAGCCCCTCTCTTTGTAGACAGCAAGTTGGGTCCTATTGTACAGATACATCATTTTGCATATGAAAAATTCTGTTAGTCCATGGTATAATTTATTCTGAAGGTCTGCAGCTGGAACTCAATAGGAAGTCAAGCCTGAATATGTTGCTGGAATATATGAATTGCTTTGGATGGGAAGAACAGAGTTAAATATAATGTGCAAAACTCTGAGAAACAAATCTGACATCTCAATAGAGCATTGAATGGTTCCTATTAAGCTTGCTAAATTCTGTGTCTCTCAGAATACCCAATATAACCTCATGCACTTTTCATATTAACAGATTTTATACTCCATCCCAGTTATGTAAATATGAAACTAAAATATTTAAAATATTTAACAGATGTGGAACAGTAGAGAGAACTCTATTGCATGCAATATGGGATTGCTTCAAATTAAATACTAATCTGAGGTTTTTAAATATTAAACACAGCTCTAGAGGGAGACCATTATCCCTGACCCTGTGTTGGACATCCTGGCAAGTCTATCAGAAACAAAACAAAGAGGAATTCTTCACAGAAATCTTTGCATGTGGTTATTACAATCAATAATAGGGAAATGGTATACAATTTATTTTCGGAGTACCCAGTTCTTATCTTGCAAATAGTGGCTAATACCATTGTGTGAGATCAGAATCATGTTCCAAATATCAATAAATGTCTGATATTTGCCCAGGTATTCCTCCATTTTGAGGAGCTTAGAAGGGGCACAAAATGCTTTATTTTTTTATTGTTTATATGGCAGAATAAAAGGACAGGTGACTTCCACTTAATATAGCAATTAAAGTGCAGCTGTGAGGGTTTTCAGAGTGCCTGACCTAAGCAACCAGTCATGATTGAGTTTCAGCAGGCTATGGGATTTGTATAAGATCAGCCTGATGAGTAAGGATACCAGCATCAGTTCTGGGAGATAGCAAGATGGGTGAGGGGCAGGCAGAGATGTTAGGGGGGAGGTCTAGGAGAGGAGTTATTGGACCTTACTGTGATATGGGAGTCAGTGAACAGCAGAATGGAGAAGAATCTTGTTGGGAGGAGGTAGGGAGAAGGATGAGAAAAGAGAAGGGAGATTTCATAGGGGTTACATAAGCCTTCTAATCAAGAGGGTACTAAATTTCACTCACCACTGCTTTCAAACAATGAGTATAAAATAATAACGGGTTAAGCAGTGCTTCTGCACAAAAAGACTTGGAGATTACAGTGAATGAGAAGCTGGATATGAGTCAACACTGTGCCCTGGTAGCCAAGAAAGCTAACTGCGTAATAGGCTGCATTAGAAGGAGCACTGCCAGAAGATCTAGGGAAGTGATTATTCCCCTTTATTTAGTACTGGTGCGGCCACATCTGGAGTATTGCATCCAATTCTGGACCTCTCATTATGGAGAGAGTCCAGCAGAAGGCAACCAAAATGATTAGAGGGCTGGAGTACTTGACTTATGAGAAAACAAAAGGAAAGAAATTATGTAGCATTTTAAAGACTAACGAGATAGTTTATGAGGTGATGAGCTTTTGTGGGGCAGACTCACGCTTCAGATCATATTTTGAAAGCGAATTGGCATGACCATATAACAAAGGAATACAATGAAAAAAGTAAACTTTTAGTAATCTTTACTAAAAAAGTAAAGATTATAAACTAACAAATCAGCTACTAGAACAGAAGGTGGGGGTGAGGAGCAAAGAAGAGACAAGGAAGGAGGAAATAGCTTATTGTAAACCAATAAGTGGCTAATCTGGCGTTGCTACAAATATCAAAAGGTGGGGGGAGTCTGTCTTTGTAATGTGTAAGGTAATTAGCATCTTTATTAAGACCCATTCGCAATTTATGAGAAGAGGCTGAGGGATTTCGGCTTATTTAGTACTCAGAATAGAAGAGTGAAGGGGGATTTGATAGCAGCCTTCAACTACGTGAAGAGGGGTACCAAAGAGGATGGAGAGAGGCTGCTCTCAAGAGTGATAGATGACAGAACAAGGAGCAATGGTCCCATGTTGCAGTGCAGGGAAGTCTAGGTTGGATATTAGGAAAAACTATTTCACTAGGAGGGTGGTGAAGCACTGGAACGGGTTCCCTAAGGAGATGGTAGAATCTCCATCCCTACAGGTTTTTAAGTTACGGCTTGACAAATCCTTGGCTGGGATGATTTAGTTGGGGTTAGTCCTGCTCTTTGTAGAGGATTGGACTAGATGAACTCCTGATGTCTCTTCCAACCCTATGATTCTATGGCTCTATGATAACTACTTGCTGACCTGCTCTGGATTTGCCACATCATATAATTAAACTGTTGAAGAAAATAATAGATAATAACATTAATATCAAAGTATGGTTTTCACAGTAGAGTTACATATTCCAAAGGCATTCACATCCATATGGAGGGATGTTCGGTCATTTTCAGCAGTGGATTTTAAAACAATATAATAGTTACATTTAGAAAGAAAACCAAAGAGGGTGGACCATTATTACTGAACATCCGACTGTATCTACAACATTAAGAGAAATGTTAGAAAAAGGCCACTAATAGAAAACATATATTTTAGAGCTAAAGAATTTATTTATGTATATCTAGAGAGTTAAAAATATCATACCCATGCATGTATGCAAATACACACACACAGAGCACAGTTTACTTGACTAGTGGTCATGAAAACTGTTATACAATAATTATGAAATTACACTTTCCCTTGAGTCCCAGTTACTCTAAGTAAAAGAGTTAAACAAAATATAGTAACATCACATATTATCACATCTAACATTGTCTCATCTGCTTTTCTTCTCCTGTTAGTATTCGGACTCTTCCTTTCATTTCCCATCCTGAAACATTTAAATATCAGCATCTCTACCATCCGACACAAGACAAAATATTTCTGCATTACAAGACATAGAAAATCTCATCCGGAAATGCAGTGCACACCGTGCCGAACACCTTCTCAAATAGATCTAAGAGGCACAACAGATTGTGGCAATTAAATGACTGTCTCAGGCACTTCAAAACACGGATACCTCAGCTGGGATTCATATAAATTCAAGCCTCCTACAGATACATTTTATAGGGAGATCCTTTACTATGGTTCCTTATTGTCTTCTCGCTTAGCAAAAAAACACCTGAAGCAAATGAGAATTAGTGTGTAGCTATATTTAAATATTCATGGTAAGATTCTCAGTGTGTAGAGTCATATGACATGACTTTTGATAAAATCTATCAAATTAGAAGGACTTAGACAAGGCTTGAATATAAAGTGAGCAGAATTTTAAATACTGTTCCCTTACAAAAACTGAGTAATTAGTTAACTGTTGCATATTCACTGTAATGTAGAAGTGGTTAGATCAGATTTAAAAAGAAAATAACCTATCATCTGTACTGTATAAAAAGAACAAAAAGGAGGGCATGTTGTTTTTGTTATTTATCATGTGAACTACAGCAGGTTCTAGGGACTGACCCAGAATAGGATCCCATTATACTAGGCATTGCACAGAGGATGTCTACGCTGCAATCAGATGTGGCGGTATGGGCTGAACAAGCACACCCCAACTCTCATTCCTAGCCCATACTGCTGTCTGTGCAGCTTTACCTTCACTACTCTTTTGAGGTGCACAAGCTAGATTAAAGCCTGAGTACATGTGCCTAGCCGAGTGCAACTCACACTTCCAACTGTGGTGTAAACATCCTAGCAGAGTAGCTCCCTGCCTCAGAGAGCTTATAATATAAATAGACATGACCATACAAAGGGGAGGGGAAAGAGATTTAGCACATACTGGTGAGGTCAATGTAATGGTGGTAAAACTCATGGTAGTGCCACAATTTTTTAAAAAGATATTCTGAACTGTGTCTTGGGTGGACAGCCAATGTGTCAGATTTGTATGGGAGTGAAAGGGTTAAGGGATGAACTGCACTATTCCTATGACTTCAACAAGCCTCAGTACCCTACCCCCATCTGTATGAAATCCAGACTTCCCTAGCATTTAGAAAACTCTTTCATGTGTCTTTACTGGGACAGGGATAACCTATTCCAATAGCACATTTCTGAAACTTCCAAGTGAAATGCTAATTCATCTTGTGGGGCTTCATAGGGAAATCCCATACGCTGTGTCTATATTACAGGGTTTTTTTGAGGAAGAGCAGACGCACTCTTTCATAAGCTCTGTCTTCCTCCCACAAGGAAGAAGGGCTGTTCTGAAAGAAGATTTTTCCAAAATTTGGCCCAGTATAGACAGGCCAAATTTCGGACAAGCCTCTTTCAAAAAAAACTATCGGAAAAAGGTATGCAAATTGCAGAGCGCAATTTACTTACCTTTTTCTGATAGATCATTGTAGTGTAGACATAGCCATAGTATCCCCTGGGATGAACAGATTGATAGTCACAGGCAGAAGACCTAGCATGAAAGAACTGACGATATTGAACTGAATGGCAAGCCTTCATTGAATAGGGTCAGAATTTCACCAATGTTTATAACATGGAGGTCATTGACAACACCACCAGAATAATCAAAACAAGTCAGCAATACTTTCACCCAACAGGGCCATTAAAAGCTCAGTGTTAACATTCTGGATCCTTGCTGCTACCTTAGATTCCCCATTGTGAATGTAATGCATCTACTTTGCTTGTAGCTGCAATCACAGAAATGTCTCTTCCATTACCAAAATTATGTTGAAATTTTGATTTCAAGAGAGAGGCTGGCTGTTATCTTGGAGACTGATTACTTCTTTTCATAGGTTAATATACAGTGAATGTCAGATGACAATATCTGAGGGCAGTGTTATTGCTGTTGATCATGTTGGAGATCTCAAGAAAACCTACCAAGAGATGTAGCAATCACTCCAATGGTTCTTTAAGAGACCTCAGCATCTTCTATTTCCAGGCTAGTCAGAACTTCTATGTTTGACTACAGTGAAGAATCGAGTCACATTCAGGAATCTGCAAGATAAGAACTGAAGTTATGGAAGAGGAAAGAAGTACCTTAGAAATTTAAACCTGATTTTTATTGCAAACAATCTCCCCATGCCATTTCTTCCTTCAGTGCCCAAGGGCAAGTCAAGCATGGATGGTGGGTAAAGGTAGGGCTGGTGGACAGCCCCACTGCTTCTGCCCAGACCCCGCCCCCCATATCACAGGCTGGTGGGGCAGCACAAGGCCCTAGCCTGCCTAGCTCTGGAGCACTGGAAGGGCAGAGGGCGTGCGGCCAGTTTCTTCAGTCCCAGAGCACAGGGAGGATGGGCGGCACGTGGCCCAAGCTTCCCTGGCCTCAAAGCATGGGCAGGGAGGAGGGCATGCAGCTCCTCCCCCAAGTAGGCGTTCTGGGGGGGTGGAGCACAGGTGGAGCCAGGCTGGTGGTTTGGGAAGGCAATGCCTTCCCCGGCCTATTATACCTGCTGCCCATGAAATCAAATACCATGAAAAATCCGCCTCATGTCATGACAGATCATTAATAATACTGACAAGTCAACTGGAGTAGAGCCCAAGGCTTTTTCCCCCCTTAAAATATCCTTTGTTATCACTTCCAATAATTGATGTAAAGCATGACGTGCACTTTTGAAGCATTAGATACGCATTTAGAAATAACCCTGTACATGCGTATGTAAATAAGATTGGCCAAATCACATAGTTCTTCATTTCAAAGGAAACTTTGCATTAGCTGGAGCTGCTGATTTTCTCTAAGTGTTAGGTTTCTTTCTTCCAAACTAAAATCTTCTTCATTTGTAACTTCCCTTCATGTTAAACTTAATGCCAGCTCGGAGACAGAGAGAGAGAAATTTCTGATACCTGCTGCAATTTTAGACAATGATTAAGCTGGAACAAAGAGCAAAATTTTAGCAATCCCTCCTAATTCTCCCTCTCCAACCACCCCAAAACCTGAGGCCATAACTATGCCAGACTTTAGAAGGCTATTACACAACATGGACCAATTTACAGCCAGAGAGTGAGTTCTCCATGGATAATAAACACACCCAAGGAAACTCCAGTGCACCTCAGGTCACATTTCTTACCTACAACAGTATGATTTCAAGTAGTCCAGGAACTGACAGACTATGATCTATGAAGCATTTGCTAATGGCACTGAAGAGCTGACTGGTCTCAGGGTTTTTGTTACACCTCCTTGTTTCCAAACACTGCCCATGCTACTCAGTATGAAGGAGAAGCTAGAGGTGTGTGAAAGTAGCTACAAACATGGAGGGGGAAAGAGCTGATCTTCCATCATTGGAGGCCTCACCTATATGAAAAAACTGAGTGAAATTCCCAGCCCTGAGTTGTGCAGGTCAGACTAGATAATCATATTCGTGTCTTCTCCTCATAAAAACTATTAACCTATAAAAGATCGAGTGGAGTCCCCCTAAAGCCTGGCCCACAAGTGGTACTGAAACTGCCAGCCACCAACAGAAGAGGAAGGTTCACAAGAAATAGCTAACTGTCCAGGGGAGCAGGGGAAGAAGACCAGATGGCTCTGTAACATGCATACAGGACCAGCGATCCATGTTTAGGTAGCGTCATGATTTGGAGCAACAGATGCATGTCACAGAAGAAGAGCAGGATGGGAGAAATAGAGAGGAATGGAGATAAAATGACGAGCAAAAGTACCTCTGAAAAGAGGAAAAAATTAAGTATCAATACAAAATTGTATATCTAAATTGAGTATTCTTCAGTGTTAGTGGCAGACCATTTGGCCTGGTATATTTGTGATTTTTGTCATTCACCCATTCCAAGTTAACTCTCATCAAGGGCTACTCAACATTGGAAGTCCCGGGGGCCACAATGATACTCACAACACATGCCGAGGGCCGCAGCTTAAATGTGGTTGCATATACATTCAAATGTATATGCAAATAGCTTCTTTCACACTGACAGGCATGAATACAAAGATTAAGGCAAGAGTACACAACACACAGGCCCCATTTAAGTCAGTTCTGCTGATATTAATAAAATGCAATATTTACCCGATTTCCACCTATATGATAGCACTTTTAATGAGCAACGAGAGTCCAGAAATTTAACTACTAAAATGCATATCAACAGAAGACTATTATATTGACTACATTTTTGTTTTGGTTCCCACCCATGGGCTGCGAACCAACAGGCCACGGGCCACATGCGGCCCATGGGCTATGTGTTGAGTAGCCCTGCCCTAATTGAATCTCTAATGGGAATCTCTCTTCAGTCACTAAAGCTGTCTACACTGCAGCACTATTTCGGGGACACCAAGGATATCCCTGAAATAGCTATTCCTCGTCTTTTGAGCGTGCCCATTATTTTGAAATATAATAGGCTCGCTATTCTGACGTCCCTGTAGCCCTCATTGTACAAGCAGTAAGGGACATTTCAGAATAGCGATTTATTTCGAAATAAGTGCTGTGTATTTCAAAATTGACTCAAAATAAGATACACAATTTGTGTAGCTCAAATTGCATAGCTTATTTTGATCTATGGGTCCAGTGTAGACACACCCTAAGAGAATTGACCTCTGTTATTTGCTCTTCCCCACCATTGCTTGTAACTTAGTTAAAATCTGCAAGAGTAACTTGGACCTGTCGTCAGAGAGGAGAGGGCATTTGTTTTAAATTTTATGATGACAGGTAAAAATACAGAAATGGAAAAAAATTTAGAAGTCTCAATAAGCATGCTTCAGTGACAGTGATTTATTTAATAGGAACTTTAACTATAGAGAAAATGATCTGAAATAAAATATACATGAGTGTGAAAAGTAGCAGAGCAAATGAATGTTGCAAATATACACTGAGGCTGCCTGAATGAGTCCTCTATGCTAATGTACCAGTAGTGCAGGCAGTGCACTGTCCTGGAGGCTTCATGCCTCTTCTCTACTACAATAGCTCAATTAAGCAGCCTGAATGAGATGCAAAGATGGCAATTGTTGGCTTTCAAAACATTTTCAGTATGTATTGCAGTTTGGGCCAATTTCCATTTACTGCAGGATAGCCATATTCTATACAAGGCAGAATGTGGCTGTCATTTTTCTCAAGTACATCCTCTGACAACTTTTGATCTTTGTGGCCAGATAATCTTGTTAGTGTTTTCCTGAAAAGGCAATAGAATAGGATGACAGTCTATGTGCTAAAAGGACTGAAGCATCAGAGCTCATTTCATGTATTGTGCTTGTTTTAGAGAAGAATCCAAATCTTTGATGTGAAAAGCAAAGATGGTAACCGGTACAACACGTACTCTTGCTCTCTTTAATAATCTATTCTGAGAGTATGTGGTTCTTTTCCTAGACTCTCACACACCTGTTTTATTTTATTGAAATTGATTTGGCAAAGAAGTTGTTCGTCATGTGGCTTGGAAAGTTAGAATGCAGTCATGAGAGTACAGCACAAAGGAAATAAGTGTCTTTTTATATTTCAGACCCACAGCAAATTAGATAGAGGATTTGGTACACCAGAGAAATCAGTGGTTTAACATGCTAAATACTCTGGTAAAGATATTTAGCTGGTGACAATTGTAGTAGCTCCACTGAAGTCAATATGCTGATTTACATCTTGGGCCTTCTGATCTGACTCACTAGTGTGAAGGTATCATAGAAGACAATCTCAAGAATTCATTACATCCAGGCACTGAGGCAGGACCAAGCAAACCTAGATCAGCCCTCACAGGTTTTTGTCCAACATGTTCTTAGCAATTCCACAGACTTCTTTAGAAGCATGCTCAGAACTTAACTACCCTTAGGGTTACACAGGCTTCCATAATTCCTAATCTAAATCTCCCATGCCTCAGGTTAAGCCTATTACTTTTTTCCCTGCTTTCGGTGGACATGGAAAATAATAAATCCCTATTCTCTTTGTAACAGCCTTCACCATATTTAAAGAAAGATGTATAGGATCCCTCTTCATAAGACATGAATAGCTTTTTAAATCTTTCCTTGTAGGTCAGCTTTTCTAAAAAGCTTGTCATTGATGTTACTCTCCTCTGCTTCTCTTCATTTTACCCACATCTTCTGTAAAGTGTGGCTCCCAGAATTACACATGATAGTCCAACTGAGGCCTCATCAGTGTTGAGAAGAGGAGACCATCTTACATACAAAAGTGGTTCTCAACCAGGGCCCTCTGCAAGGCCACAAAGCAGGTTTCAGGGTTTCCACCAAGTGGAACCAGTGTTAGACTTGCTGGGGTCCAGGACAGAAAGGCATAGCTCAACTGCAATGGCTGAAGCCCCCGGGGCTCTGAGCCCCACCATCTGGGGTGAAATAAGAAGCCTGAGCAACTTAATTTCTTGGTGCCCTCTGTGGCCAACAGTTGCCCTGCTTGTCACCCTGTAACATTGGTCCTGGCTTTTACATGCAGAAAAGAGTAGCTGTGTTACAGACAGGCAAAGGAGTTTTTATAACATGTTGGGGAGTGCCCAGAAAGAAAAGACTGAGAACCTCGACACATAGCACTCCAGTTGATGCAGCCAAGAATGATAATTTTTGCAGCTGTGTCACATTGTTTATTCACTCAACTTATCTTCCACAATACCCCTCCACCTTCTTCAGCATGGCTAATGCTTAATGCAGGGGTCGGCAACTTTTTCAAATCAAAGAGTCATACTTCATCAAAATTCAGAACAAGTGGTCAACGAAGAGCTGTTTAAGAATGGCCATTTGCATGACTGAAAATATGCAACTGAGTATTGTTGATAATTGACATAATGATTAATAACAGCATAAATGAAACATTGTACTCACAGGTTTTAGTTAATGGGACTTCTGCTGCTGCATCTTTTCACACATTTCTTTGAAGTTTACATTGGAGTAGGGGGCAGAGGGCTGGGGTGCCAGAGACAGGCTCTGGCCAGGACATTTACCAGTGAGACTAGCAGCCCAATACATTTCTCAGGCAGGAGCATGCCCTGCCCCCACACATGCTGCCTGGCCATGTGCTTGGTGACTGAGTCTGAAGGGAAGGGTGATTGGTGCATCATGTGCTGCCTGTTCTTGAAAAAGGCAGCTTTTATTAGAACCAGCCAATGGGATTGTGCTGGGGGTAGGAGCAGCCATGAGGCACCACTCTCTCCTCCCTCTGCTGGCTCACAAGGTGTGAAAAACAAAAGGCCCTGCAGCAGCTTTTCTGTGTGGCATGTGGGGGTGGAGCAAGCAGGGGAGTCTGCCTGGGGGCTCCCTGCTGTGTCCACAGCCTGATTGTTTTGCCCAGGCCTGCTGTAGAGCCAGCATGTGCTCCCTGCAGGGCTCCCTGCAGCAGGGGGGATCAAGGGAGGAGGCTGGGCTTGAGCTTCAAAAGAGCCATATCTGGCTCCCTATTGAGCCATTTTTGGCTCTGGAGCTATAGGTTGCTGACCCCTGGCCCAAGCAGTTATTCCTCATTTGGTAGTGGTGCAAATGATTTTTGCCTTCCCATGTGTTTAATCATACTGATTTTCACACCAATGCCCTAATTTGTCAATGTTATTTTGAATTCTACCCCCATCCTCCAAAAGTGCTCCCAGCCCTCCCAGCTTGATGTTATATTCTCCATTCCATTATCCAAATAATTAATGAATACACTGAATAGTACCAGAGCCAGGACTGACCTCTAAAGTACCCCAATAGACACACCCTCCTGTTTCACAGTGAGCCAGTGGTAAGTATTCTTTGAATACAGATTTTCAACCAGTTGTGCTCCCGCTCTTTAGTAATTTGATGCCGACCACGTTTTCCCAGTTTTCTTATGAGTATCTTGTGTGAAATCCCTTACTGGACTTGTGCTCCATAGAATACTTTTGTAAACCTGCTTCTTTAGATGCCTTAGTGGCAAGATTGTGTAGCACCCCCTTTTCCCCTGGTTACCTTCTTTAAGGCCAGTCTGCTTATAGGTTTTGATGGATAGGTCTGGGTTCTTCTGGATCCCGCCACCCACTCAACTTTATTTTTTCCTACGGATTTATTTGGCGGTGCCTCCACCCCCCTCACTCCTTCCTGGCAGGGTCACCAGGGCAGCTTGGAAGGAAAATTCTAATCCCCATGTACAGATAGTTGGAGACTCACAGAAAATAACACAAACACATACACTATATTAAACACAATTATATTAAACGGGAGACAAATATAACAGAACAGGGTAAAACACTATTTTTAGGTTCACCGGTGCCCAGCAACTGTAAGATTAGTGTCCTGTTGGTACGCGTACTTTGTTGGGGCCCTTGATGACTTATGACCGCAAAATTCTTCTCTGCAGTGGTTTAGCAGTTAGGCTGACTAAGTCCAGTACAACCCAAAGGACTCCCAAGTAGGAGAAGGTGATAAATCCTCCACAGGTTTAATATGCAGCAGGTTATAAAATCCCCAAACAAATTCCCTGACTAACTAAAAGATGGTGCACTCACACACTCCATGAATGAGTCTCAGGTTTGGCGATGACTCAGTCACTGCAGATGGCTGGTCTCTTCTGGCAGGGATCCTCTTCAGGCAGGAATCAGGCTGCTTTGATCCCAGAATTTCCCCTCACCACAAAGGGTTGCAAGGCTCAAGGTGCAGGTTACACAACTGCACCAAAATTCAAACTATAACCTCCTAGCCCAGCATTCAAACACACACAGCAGGCAGCAGCTCTCAACTAGCAGACAGAGCAGAGCTGACCACGTGGTGACTGGTCTCACCCAGGGAGCTGGAGAGCTAACTCAGCCTGGCTGGGGAAGCCTCCCAGTAAACTCCACAAACTGGGAATCATCAGTGGAGAAGGAAAAACCAGCTGAGGGATCCCCCACACAGCAGCCCTCCTCTTGCCCTGGCTGGCTCCAGACTCCTCAAACAATGGCTTCTCCTCCCCAACCTGAACTCCCTGGGAGGGGCATCTCACTCCCTATGGGTTGCAGGGCAGACTCTGACCCTGGTAGGGAGGAGGAGCCAAGGCAAACTCAGTGTGCCTCTCCCTGAGCTGCCAGCAGACAGAGCCCCAGGAATCTAGGTAATGTCCTTGGGGGTTACAATTGTTTTTAGATTTTTCTTTTGATGGCTAATTTTTTGTACTTTACAGCAAGTTAGCTTGCCTATCTAATACATTAGCTTGTCTTGGTTAAAACCACAAACCCTTATCTTTCTTAGTGATACTTTTCCATCTTCATATCCATGGAATTAGATGAATTTTGCAACTGAATAGCTCAGTTATTTCAAAAGAAGCTAAACAGAGCCCTGTGTGTGTTTTAATATTTGAGACCTAAAATTCAAAACCTGACTACAAGTACCTGTAGTGAGATATTTGGATTGTTCACTAGTCTTCCCAATGAAACATTAGACTTATCATACTGTGATGAAAATGGTCTCCAATAACAGAGAGCTTGAAAACAGATAATTATCCAAGAACATGAAACATAATTAACATGCAGCAGAGCATGCCATGAACATTTTCTTCAGCAAATAAAAAGGTAATTGCTGTCTGTGTACAAAGCAACAAGAAAGGTTTGGCTCAGTTCCTTCAGCCAATTTAGAAAGGCCACTGTTTACTTATTTAAACCATAAAAACATGCATCTTATCAAAAGGGTGCCATTCAAAGACTGATGGAGTGCACCCAAGCTGCTGATTGCATGCACTTCTCATTTCACACTTTCTAATCCTGATCAAACAGAGTCTTCTTATCCTGTTATTAGAACTCTTCAATGTAACAAGTTGAAGCCTACAGTTAAACAGGACAGCCATATCCCAGCATAAATGTGAACAGCAATTAATAAATGCTGAGTCAAATTCTGCTCTCCTGTGAACCCCAGCTCACTGCAATAGGATTACACACATGGACGTGTGGACAAGAAGATATTAAGTAGTCTTGAAAATAATGGTCCAGTAAATTAAGTTAATTTTAGTGATAATGGTTTGTGATTTTTGAGATTAAAAACAATTTCAGAATAAAAAAAATCTAGCAAAATATGAAACAGGTGTTGAAGAAAATGAAATCTGTAAAATAAATAAACATAAAAAACCAGTTCAGTCAGGAACAAGGAATTGGCAAGTGTCACCTTGTGGGGTAGCACACAATAAAAACACCTGTCCCTGTACTGTTTACAATTTCATCAAACATGTTACTTAAACATAATAGCTGATGCCTGGCTGCAGTAAATTCCTGAAGTTTTCCCTCAGTCAATGCAGGACAAAGTGCGTCTGTGTCCCCAATCATCCATGCTGAGCTGGCATTCTGTGGTGTGTCTCACACTTGCGCCCAGGAATAAGAGCTACCTCAGCCAGAGGTATCATCAAAATCTGTCCAGTGCAAGCAGACCTTCTCTCACACACAGAGACACAAATTGGAGATGCCAATACCCTAGTTTTATTGCAAGTGACCACAACACACTGATTATTTTAAGGCCCTCACCCAATCCAGATAATTCCCTGAAGTCTTTAATCCTGTCATGCACTTATGTGTGTCCCACAGCAGTGCCATCCACCAGTGGTCCAGATCTTGGTGCACTGTCATGGGTACCTCTGTTCAGCACTTGGCAGAGCCTCCTTTTAGCCACGGTGGGGACTAGCTGTTTCAGTCTGATCAGGGCCGGCTTATCCATAAGACACAGTAGGCACAGTGCCTAGGGCCCACAATACTTTTAGGGGCCCACGAAAATATTTTAATTTCTTTTAAAATCAGAAGAAAAAAATGAACTTTTAGGGTTGAAGAAAATGTTTTAATTTTTTTTCTCACATCAGAAAAAAACAAAACTTTTAGGGCCCACAAAAATCTGTTACACTTTGCCTAAAACAGAAAAAAAATAAAATGTTGAAGTATTTAAAGTTATATCAAAAATAATTTTTAATATTGATATTATTATGGTGGGAGGGGCCCATGAAGGCAAAAATGCCTAGGGCCCATGAAAGTCATAATGTGGCCCTGAGTCTGATGCCCTTTTGGTAGTTCTTCATCCCACCTTCTCACTCTCTTGGTCTGCAGCCCACTCTCTTTCTCCTCACCCTCTTGGTTTAGCCCTTCAGCCAAGTCACTGGGAGACATCCTGGTTCACAGACACCAGCTCCAGGGACAGGGTCATGGACTCTGTCTCCTTTTCCTCCGGCTGGCCCTGGTCCTCCTGCCCCTCCTCCTCCGTGACCTCATCTTCCAGAGTAATACCAACTTCTTCCTTGCCATCCCAGGCAATTCTTACGTTCACTACTCTCTCTGGGTTACTCCCTCAGAGCACATGTCTACACTATGAGATAAGCACTGTGGATAGCTTTGAATTCCAGGCTATGTTCACAGTGCCCTCTGGGATCAAAACTGTGCAGCGGGTGCATAAAGCAGGAACAGTCATAAAGCGAACCTGGTTAATCAATACACCAGATACTGGTGTGGTAGTGAGACTGCTAGAGGGCCAGAACTTATCTTGAGACATTCCAATTCATCATCAGTGAGGCTGTCATAATCATAATCTACTAAAGTATTATGTATTTTAAATTCATAAGAAATGTTTCCTCGTGGATGAGGAGTAACAGTTAATTCGAACTAAGGACTTAGTTTGAATTAACGTTTCCCTGCCGTGTGTAGCAGCGCAGCAGTGACTCATCCACGAGGAGTAACAGTTAAATTGAACTAAGGACTTAGTTTGAATTAACGTTTCCCTGCCGTGTGTAGCAGCGCAGCAGTGACTCATCCACGAGGAGTAACAGTTAAATTGAACTAAGGACTTAGTTTGAATTAACGTTTCCCTGCCGTGTGTAGCAGCGCAGCAGTGACTCATCCACGAGGAGTAACAGTTAAATTGAACTAAGGACTTAGTTTGAATTAACGTTTCCCTGCCGTGTGTAGCAGCGCAGCAGTGACTCATCCACGAGGAGTAACAGTTAAATTGAACTAAGGACTTAGTTTGAATTAACGTTTCCCTGCCGTGTGTAGCAGCGCAGCAGTGACTCATCCACGAGGAGTAACAGTTAAATTGAACTAAGGACTTAGTTTGA